CGTGGGTGACCCACGACTGGCCCATCTGCACTTGGATAACTCTGCCGTATAAGTAAGTCAACCACATAGCAGATTGACCAACATGGGTGACCCATGACTGGTTATTTTCCCTCACTTTCTCCTGTAGACCCCTCCTAATAAGGTCGTTTAGTCATCGGGGGTAGGGGGTGAACTAGCAGGGTTGTAGCCTAGGATGATGTCAAAGTACATCTTTGCCATGGCGTCCTTGAGAGCTTTGCGCACGATGCCAATGTCACAATGTTATGGATGCTATGCCTACATGACATACGCAGCGCAGCTTTTCTCTCAGTCGGTAGCATCGGCATTCTTCTGATGGAAGAAGCTGCGGTTCACCGCATGGCGACATCGCCCAGCTGATACTGTGCCAAGTCTCTTGTGAGGAAATAGAAACCGCAACCAAGCTTCTGGAAAAAGCCGGCCACAAGCTCCGGGGTATTCCAGAAGTTCCGTCTCAGCAGCTCAGCAAATCACTGACCTTGAAAATGCATCGCGGCAATTGCGCCAACTGAGCCACTTTAGATAGTTGCACTATCTGAGCAAGCTATGAAGTCAGTGAAGCACAAAAGGCACTTTTATTACTACCCCGTACGGAGAAAGGTTCTAGCACCTCTTCAGAGGAACACTATGCACAGCTGCCGGATCCAATTCACTATGATGAGCTCCAAGAGCACTAAAGAATGTCCCGATGATGCTGATGCTTGGAAAAGGACAACTGAGTGGACTCTGAGCGGACACTGAGAGTTAGATACGCGCCCATCTTTTCTCACCATAGCCCTGTTTCACACTTCGTTTCATCTTTCTTGTGGCTACGTGACGGTGTCATTGCTGGTCTTAGGATTGCCCGTGACATGTGAGAATTTATTATGCCCACGTGGCTTGCTCTGTGTGATATCGGGGCTCCTGGCTGGGGGAACCCTGGTTTCCGCACAGTGCTGTGTTGCTTTTTCTCACATCTCCTGTATGGCGGTCATCGTTATGTTCCTTGTCCTTTTGCTTTATTTCTCGCCATACCAATCCTTTGGATGATGCAAAGCCATTATCTTAACAACTGTGCTGACAGGCCTTTTTCACCTTGCCGCTCGTTTTTTTGCGTGTTTGCTGTGGTCGTTTTTTGGTTTGTTGTTTGGTTTGGTGTTGTTTCTGTTTGCCGTTTTGGTTTTGCGTTGATTTTATTCGGCATCGTGATGGCCTCTCTGGACTGTGTACTGGTCCTCCTTCAGCACGGCCTCTTGTGGCCCATCTTCTCACCAAGATGGATGAATTCCAATGCAACAATTAATTAATGCAAAACATGCTGCATGCAAATATAGCGTGTGGATCGACCTGGCGAAAGCCAAGAGGCGAAGGAAGGGAAAAAAATTAGGGAAAGATGTGGGAAGGTGAAGTGTTGAAGGCTTTCTTACTCCGCCATCGTTTCGATATCGTGTCAATTACATTGGGTAATTGAATTAAAACATTCCACGGAGTAGCGGAGTAGCGCGGAGTAGCGACGGATTGGTGAATGTTGCCTGGGTGGTGCTGCATCGCAATCGCTGCATTGGAGCTAGGGAACGGGGACAGCTGATACCACATGTGCGCTTTCAGGTTTCATTTCCGGGGCTGGAAAGTCAATTGAAATCAGGCTGCATGTGTGGGCCTCTGTTCCAAGTCTATATGCTTGTTGCTTAAATAAACGCAGTTGTAATTTTTTGTTTGTTGCACGGGTCGGCCTTGGCTGTTGATTTTGCCATTTTTGCGGTCTCATTTTTGGTACTGCCAGACGGTCCCAAAAATGGGACCGTGAAATAGCTTTTCTTTTTTTCCTGTACTAAGCTGTGCATGCGGTCCCAAAAATGGGACCGCCAGGCGGTCCCATTTTTGGGACCGTGTTTAGGTTCATTTTTTGTTTTTTTTTGTATCACGGTTACAGAAGCGCACTGCTTTGGTTTCAATGAAGCTTTGTGGCTTATGGCGACCGGAAGGGCAACTGTAGCTCATTTGTCGTCACGCTGGTTGTGTTGTTTGTTTTGTGTTGGGCTCCGGCCCCGTTCCGTGTTGTTGTTTGTGATTGGCTGGAGGAGACACACTTCTGGCCGGGGGAAGTGTGCCTCGTCCCTTTCTTGGCTCCTCCGCTGTCTTTCTTTGGTGGTTATTCCTGGGTGACCAATGAAATTGCATATTTTGCTTAATTCAATTAATGTACTCGCTGATCTTTTCGGTCTCTGCATTCCCTCTGTTTCACAGTCAAGGACCGTGCCACTGTGCATAAACGGCCAAACCGGAGCCAAAAAAAAATGTTGCTTTTCGTTTGGGAAGCGACAAAATGCAATTCAGCTGGAGGAATTGCGGGTCTTTGTCTTCTTCTTTCCCTTCTCGCTGTTCAGGATGGCTAAGGCAGGACTTGAAAAAAATCAAAAGAAAAAACAGGACCTTAATGACAACAAATGAATGGATCATTGTCGCATGTGGAGGACCATTGTCGCAGCAGAAGTCTGAGTTTGACATTGAAACTTTCAAGCCACATGCTCGGATAACTCGTCAACTGATTCGTCACATCACTTCACAACTTAGATCGCTTACCGATAATTTGTTTCTTTTAGTTCCACCAGATCCTTGCAATGCATTTTTTTTGAAAACGATGTTTTTTTCGTCGGAATGCAATGCTCTGTGGCACGGTCCTTAATGTACACAGCAAGATACACTCAGGTCAAGAAAGACGCAGACAACATTAACTGCGGCATTAACGCTGAATTCCTGCACTCGACTTGCGCGACATGGTTGACAAATTCAAACTTGGAATCATCCATCCTTTGGGTCGTCGTGGTGAAACAACTGGGAATGAACTTGTGTAGCAAAAAATGTTTTTCTGAAATTGGTTTGTGAAATTGGTTTATGGCAGTGCAAGGTGCAGCAGTAGTTGAACTTTGAACAGTGGGCGATTTATGGCGTATTTCACATATTCGTAGATTTAAATCCCTGCGCTGGAGATGACAGCTGTGCTGTCTGCCAAAGAATCGGTTCAAAAGCAAAGATCTTAGGATGTGTTTAGGAAATTTTCTGCAACAGAGTGATGAAGATAAACATCGAAACTTTGTGCCAATTCTTGGGCACACAGCATACATGTGTTTTGATAGATATACGTATAGACAGGTATACAGATAGATGGATAGATGGATAGATGGGTAGATGGATCGATGGATGGATAAAGATGGATAGATGGATAGATGGATATAGATGGATAGATGGATAGATGGATAGATGGATAGATGGATAGATGGATAGATGGATAGATGGATAGATGGGTAGATGGATAGATGGATAGATGGATAGGTGGGTAGATGGATAGATGGATAGATGGATAGATGGATAGATGGATGGATGGATAGATGGATAGATGGATAGATGGGTAGATGGATAGATGGATAGATGGATAGATGGATAAACGGATAGATGGATAGATGGGTAGATGGATAGATGGATAGATGGATAGATGGATAGGTGGATAGATGGATAGATGGATAGATGGATAGAAGGATAGATGAATAGATGGATAGATGGATAGATGGATAGATGGATAGATGGATAGATGGAAAGATGGATAGATGGATAGATGGATAGATGGTTAGATGGATAGATGGATAGATGGATAGATGGATAGATGGGTAGATGGATAGATGGTTAGATGGATAGATGGATAGATGGATGGATAGATGGATAGATGGAAAGATGGGTAGATGGATAGATGGATAGATGGATAGATGGGTAGGATAGATGGATAGATGGATAGATGGGTAGATGGATAGATGGATAGATGGATAGATGGAAAGATGGTTAGATGGATAGATGGATAGATGGATAGATGGATAGATGGATAGATGGATAGATGGATAGATGGATAGGTGGATAGATGGATAGATGGGTAGATGGATAGATGGGTAGATGGATAGATGGATAGATGGATAGATGGGTAGATGGATAGATGGATAGATGGATAGATGGATAGATGGGTAGATGGGTAGATGGATAGATGGATAGATGGATAGATGGATAGATGGGTAGATGGATAGATGGATAGATGGGTAGATGGATAGATGGATACATGAATAGATGGATAGATGGTTAGATGGATAGATGGTTAGATGGATAGATGGATAGATGGATAGATGGATGGATAGATGGATAGATGGAAAGATGGGTAGATGGATAGATGGATAGATGGATAGATGAGTAGATGGATAGATGGATAGATGGATAGATGGATAGATGGATGGATGGATAGATGGATTTGATGGATAGATCGATGGATAGATGGATAGATGGATAGATGGATAAACGGATAGATGGATAGATGGGTAGATGGATAGATGGATAGATGGATAGATGGATAGGTGGATAGATGGATAGATGGATAGATGGATAGATGGATAGATGGTTAGATGGATAGATGGTTAGATGGATAGATGGATAGATGGGTAGATGGATAGATGGATAGATGGGTAGATGGATAGATGGATAGATAGATGGATAGATGGATAGATGGGTAGATGGATAGATGGATAGATGGATAGATGGGTAGATGGATAGATGGATAGATGGATAGATGGGTAGATGGATAGATGGATAGATGGTTAGATGGATAGATGGTTAGATGGATAGATGGATAGATGGATAGATGGTTAGATGGATAGATGGGTGTTCATGTGTAGCTACATACCACATATACAAACACATAGTGGTAGGTTTTTTTCTTTTTACTTGCAATGCGCTCTGTGGCTCCCTGCCCTGATGCAAGATTTTTCGCTGCGTCCCAGGTAGCTCCGAGTCTCACTTTGCTGCGAAAAGCGCAGCTATTCTGCCGAAACCCGGCAGTGCAACGCACACGTCACCACTTGATATGACAACAGTTCGCTTCCTACCCCAGTCACCCATTCAGATTAGGTTTTCTTCAGGAAACAAACCATGGATATTTAGAGTTTTCAGGAGTTTTTTCTTTCTCAAGATCATGTACCATGTAGCCTCGCCTTTTTTTTTTGGATTCAGTGTCCAGCATCGGTGCCATGCCGGAAAAGTCGAAACTGCCGAAGTTGCGGCCCAATGTCAACAAGCCCGAGAACCTGTTGGGCACGACATCGTCACGAAAAATGGGGATAATTAGGTCAAATTTGCCAAACTGGTTTGTCTTTATCCAGCTGTGAAGTAATCGGTACTTGGACTTGAGAAGCAACTGGCAAAAATTCGCCGGAAAGTGATCATCACAAGAGCCAACAATTGGCTCTTGCGACACTAGGAGTTGTATTGCCAAACGACCTTCCTCCTGCACAGTACTAAGGCGTGCACAGCAGATCATCACTGCGCACATGCAATTAGAGGACTGATGTTCCCCCAGCACTCTTTTGTTTGTCTTGTGTTTGCGCAGGGGGCAAACAACTCTTTGTGGTGATGGAAAGTCTATTTGAGAGCCCCAAAACTGGGCAATCTGAGATATTGGAAACAAGTACTGTAGTACTACCAGAAAACAGATATTGGGTTTTAACACATATTTCAATATTCACCCTAGATATTGGTTTGTTTCAAACTGTGTGCAATTTGATCACCAGCCAACCCCAGAGGATCAGGGGATTGGGGCAGTGTCCAACAGCAGTGTGCCGGTTCTCTCGAAGCTGGAGCGAATCTTGGGAGAAAATTCTGGTGGCAATAATTTTTATGGAATGGTTCAGCTTGATTCCTGAGTCCTAACATATCCTTCTGTGCAGTAAGGGAATTGTGACAAGACTCACAAACTTCTTAAACATTGTTGGTCATGAGTTAAAAAATTGAACTCATGAAACCCAATCTATCAGCCCCCAGACAAAAGGGCAGGGCACATAAATATGCCACGCTCAAAACTTGCGTAAATTGCCCACATCGGAGGATGGTCATCAAATGATGTCAATCCATTTCTAGGGATTTATGCCCATTATATCAGGGGTTGGTAACTGTCCCATTTTGGGAATATTGGACATCACCTTATAGTAGCCATTATAGACCATATACCTAATGGTTGGGTGATGTTCAATGGGGACATTTAATGACCCATGTATATACAAGGCTTCCCATTGTGGGATGGATGACCAAATCCCCCTTGCGAATTCAGGAACAGCTCCCAGAACGGCACGGACGCATGACGTCTCGCACCTGGCGGATCACCGCAGCACTCTGCAACCACAACTTCCAGCCTCACAAATTAAGGAGGAAGACTTTGTTGCTTGCCGGCGTCTAATTGATTTTCATCCAGTTGGGACATTTTTTGGCAAATGTCCCAGTTGGATTTTTTTGTTTATTTTGGACACGTGTACCGTTGGTTTTTCATTGCAATTTTGGACAATTGTCACTTTTGGATTGAATTTGGTTGGATTTTGGAACATCGGAATGTTTTGATTTTGTGTCCCCGTCCCCACTCACAGCCACTTTTTGCCCAGGTATATGAGAGCAGTTTCATGCCTTTGGATGTCACCAGCACTTATTCTGCCACTTGGCACCTGCTACTTTGGGTGTTGGGAGTTGAAAAAACGATTTTCTTGAAAGGCCGCCCTTGAAAAATACCTCAGAGTTGGAAGGCAACAATTTTAGCCAATCAAGAGCCTTATTTTGTCCTGCACCACAAGGACTGGGAAAGACTTGCACTTTCAGCTTCCTCAGGAAAGCGGCTGGCTCTGTTGCTGGCAAGAGTAGGCATGCATGCTCCTGTTCCATGTGATCGTTTGCCCCCACCCCACCAGCTACTAGAAAACAACAACACCACGGGTTGTCCTGTTTCGATGTTTCGATGTCGCGACATTTTTTTCCTTTCGAGCATCCACCGCATCCAAGGACGAGGATGGTCTTTGGCATACAAAGGCACAGACTGAAGAAGTAGGAAGTCATGCGCCATTCCGTGGATCACCCGAGATTCAGAAATTCAGAAACTCATCACAAGTCTGTGGGAAATTTACAAAACATTGCGATCTCTCCACACTCGGTCACCAAACATGCCTTTTTTATGGGGGCATCACCTCAATGGAAATAGCCACCGGCTACCAGGTCTTCCCTTCCGACAGCCCGTCCAGTCGGACGGATGCCGTGATGTTGGACAACTGGATCAGCAGGGAACCCCGAGCGCCGAGCCATGTGGTGCATGATGCCATGGGCCCCCTGATATTGGAGACACCCCAAAAAACTTGGTTTGGAAATTAAGGGGTGTGTGCTATGTGTACTGCAATACATCTCAAAATTAGGGGAAGAGATTAATTTTTAAAATGTGGGTTTAAGAAGTAGATGTTTGAGACATTTTGAGACTACTCAGTGGGTGATATGAAATTGGCACTTCATGCCCATTTTGCCATTTTGCTAGGATTAGGGTTTCAAATCCATGCTATGCTTTTCAGACAACTTTTGAATCCTGGTGCAACTGCCCAGACCAATGAGTCTGACCTCAGACTCGGTAAGGCAAGACTTTGAGAGAGATCCAGAAGAACCTCCTTGCCCCTCGGAAGCAGGGATGATATGCTGCTAAGAGGGGAACTGAGCGGTTCATCTCCCCACCTCCGACGGTTGAGATTAACAGCTTGGGGGCACCAAGGAGTGCCAGCGTAGCAGAGATGACTTTGCCAGCAGCGTCAGGGCCTCCCAAAACGCAGGACAGCAGAACTGAGGAGTCGTGTCATCCAATTGAAATAAGCTCACAGAGGAACACAGGAGCAAATACACACAACAATTGACTATTTAGAGTCCCCATGCTCCCTTGACTGCCTCTTGTGTTTGTTATGCTAATAAAGTATTTCTATTTTCGATTCAATGACTTAGATTGTCGCCCTCCAAGCACAAATTCTCCAGACCACATCACCCAAACCGCCCTTGTGTTGACCCTGCCCCAGGTCCAGGAGTTGGTTCCGGTGCTCTCGGTGGCCCTGCATGAAATCGTACGTCAGGCTCGGCTCTTTGGAACTGGATCTGCTGGTGCAAAGAACTGGCGATCGAAGTGGATGTTTGCGAGGATTTTGAGCCTTTCGTAGCCCTTTGAGACACCAAGATTATCAGCGAACATTCTGAGGATGTTATTTATTTGTTCCTACATTTTTGTATCTCAGCAGTACTTTTGTTTTGTCAGCCAAAAATGATGGGTGTCAGGTGATGCACCACTGCGTGGAACGAGGCCTGACGACTGGTTGTCGGCGCAACAACAAGTTGGAGTAAACAAAACTGGTAGTTTCCTCAAGTTGGAGCAAAGCTTTCTTGAAGAGTGGTACAACTTTGTTGGAGTATTTGCTTAGCTTTTCTAGCTCTGCAACACATGCCTGAAATAGTCAGAAATGGAATATTCAAATCCTAGGTATGAGGCTGGAAGCAGTATGGGCTTAGATTTACCCAGCTGCTTCTCAAATACGTTGTGATTGCGATTTCTTGGTTGTTTCTGGGGTTTTGTCTGAAAATAGACTACCCCCAACGGGTTATCAACATCTTCCCCATTGAAAAGGAAAATATATTCACGTCGCTTCGCGACGGCAACCGTCCGCACCGCATCGTTGGGCTCAAAATAACGAAAAACATGAAAAAACGGCGAAATTGCTGTTATTTACAGTGTTTTTGCGCGGTGAGAAGCAGAAACCACTGCAAATACCATGGTTTTTGAGGTCAGGTGGCCAAAAACACTGTAATTTACAGTGTTTTTTAACCAACGTCAAAAAACACTGGTATTTACGATGTTTTCATTCACACCGTAACATAAAACAGCGTAATTTACGAGGTTTTTGGAAGTTTTGAAGCTAGCCGTCAAGCATGCAGAAAACAGAAAAACACTGTAAAAACCAGTGTTTCTGCTATCACAAAACGACGAAAATCAGTCCGAAAACGGGTCCAAAAACTCAAAAATCCGCCTCCGGGCCAGGCCACCTGCGGAACCGCAAAAAAAGATGTTGCAAACCAAAAAATTGAGGTCAAAAAGTTGAAAAACACGGGTTTTTTTCACTTTTCGCTTGCCGATTTTGGACGGGCGCGTTCACGAACAGGTGTCTTCCGTACTGTTTTTTACAGTGTTTTTTGAAGGCGAGCGTCACGACCTATCAAAAACAGGAGGTTTTGGCCGAAAAATGCCCCCCCCCCCAGGTAAACCTGTAACCTTTTACGAGTGCCATCCGGACGATCACGCCCCAGCACCTTCGGTGCGGGCGGATTTGGTAATTTTATGTAATTTTGGAGTATACCCCATTTTCACAGAGACCCATATACCCCAATTCCTTTTGTAAGTTCTTCCACAGGTCCCAAACTCGATCGTCTTCCGTCTCTGAATCAGGCGTGGCACTTCAGAAGATCTGGCGCACCTATGTGGAGCTCTTTGAATCTTTGCACCTTCATTGAGGTTTATCCCCGGTAACTCCACATCGGTATGGAAATCCATGTTTTATTCTTCAGAAACATGGCTGCGGCCGCACTGCATTGCCGTGCGTCGCAGCTGAGCAATCCGTCCGCAGTATTCTTCAGAAACATGATCTATAAAGTGGTGGATTTTCCGCGTCTATTTTAACTTTAGTGGAGGGTATCCCTTTTCTTTTAGAGAAAGGTGGCACTTTCAGACAAACATCATCAGAGACTGCAGGGTATCTCCTCACTCCAAGATATATTCACGAACTGGTGGGGAGATTGTAGGATACATGATGTATAATAGTTTTATAGTAGTAAAAACAATGTGATCCAACCAAAGATTTTTTGTTGTCACCGACTTCACAGGAAATTGGGGATGTGATCCACCTAAATCCTAGGAAAGAGTCCTGGACCAAATGCAACAGTCACTGAAGCTCCACAAGGCGGAACGGCGATCACGACTGGGAAGACTGGGATGTGAGAGAATGGCTGGCTGGATGAGGTATTCTATAATTGTATATATGATTCATCATGTGTGTAGATGGGCATATACATGTAATCTACACATACATGCTTTGTCTTTTTTTCTTTTGCGTTGTTGACCTATGTCAGCACTGGCATTGAATCAGGGGTTGATAGGATATGGTTGGATGTGGTTGGCACAGATGGGTTCTTGTTGACTAGTGACTTTCCAATTTCAACCTGTTTGAGCGAGGCAGTCAATGCCGGCTTATTGAATTATGTAGATTGCACATCTTATTTGTAGTACCATATTCCCATTATCTATCCTTACAATGGATAATATGGGTGGTGGGACCCTAAGTCTTCATCTATTGCTCCTGAGTGGAGATCCTGCTGAAGATTTGCCGCAAAATTGACATCAGCACGACAGGAGCGAACAGCAGAAGTGCAGGATGAACTGAAGGAAGCCAATCAGGTGCTGATTTGGTCTGGGGGTACGCTCCAGCTTTGTCAAACTTGGCTGGATAATCCTCATTTTCATAGAACACATGTCCATTGTCCGCTTTGGACAATCGCAAGGTAGAACAACGAACCGTTAGATTTTGGTCTGAACCCCTCAACACCGCAAGTCATTGGACCAGGAAGTGCGGCAACTGAAGCGAGAGCATCCTGAGCAGATGCACAATATCATCTCAGAGTTGGAGGCTTTCGAATGGTTACCCTCTAGTAATCAAACATGGCTTGCTGGAAAATCTATTTATAGATGGATTTTCCCATTCCACTCTCCATTTAAAGAGATTTTGTGAAAAATACTACAGGGTTGATTGGGATGAGTATTGGCCATAGTAGGGATGCTTATCAGATCAACGAACGGGACGAACCAGCAGAATGGGATAGGGCCTTTTGCCATGGCTGAATTCCTAATTCGGCTCCCAATTAGATCCTCACACCAATTGAAACACTGTTTACCGGACATGAGAATCATGCAAGACATGCAAGCATATATACCTGGTACGGCATAGCTGTTCTCTTTGGAAAGGCCAAATTCCTGCAGCGGCAGAAGAACTTTGAGAGAGATCTTGCAGAGGCATCCCGCGACATTGCTACTGTGGGCCTATCATTTTGGGGAGTTGGTGGTATAGGTTGCTTAAAGCTTCTTGCTGGACACCTGGCAACCTGCATCACTGTAAAGAATCTGAAATGTGAACAGCGCTGGTTGAGCATTAAGCATGTATTTTCTACCTGGTTTAATCAGATTCATTAATGATCATGAACCGATCAAGTGGTTTAATTCATTGGTTAATTGATGCATTTAATTGTTGTTTGATCGTTTGATCTCTAATTTCAATTCGATTGATTTCACTTGGCAATTCCTTAACTTATGAACTTCAGTTTCTGAATGCAAATTCTATGAACCTATGGATGTTGATCCCTTCCCAGGCTGAGGAAGAGAACTTGGCTGCAAAGACGGCCATCCGAACGCAGCACAAGGAGTTGGAGAGCTGGTATCCAGGCGATCCGCGAATGGTGGAAGCAGGAAAATCCACCCAGCTGATAGATCTGATAGGTGATATGATGGTTTCTTGGAGTCTTGTATGAGTATTGCCAGTATTGCTACTGGATAAAGGTGATATAAAGTGTCTAAATCCTCCGATTGGTCAACATAAACGGGTTAGGAAATGATTCTTCAGTTTTTTGCGATGGTTAGATGCTACATGAAATATTGCTGGATTTGAGAGGTCTCCGATATATCTTGCAGTGACTGGGGTAAGCCAGGGCGGTGTTTTTTTTGTTTGTAACCATCCATTCTTCGGGTAACCTGAGTTTCACCCATACCCAAATGACATGATAATCATATATAATCATGATATGAAAGCACAATTTTTGTTGAGGAGGTTTGGCTTCCGTCTTTTTTTCAGGCTCTTTTTTCATTGTCAGCGAATTCTCTCCATGTTAATCCAACGTGCCAAATTTGGGGTTCCCAGATCTCCTGGATCTCCAGCGTCGAGGATTCCAGCACTACCAGGATTCGTTGGTTAAAAACCTGTTGCCTCAGACAGATCATGGCACGCTGCTCAGGGTCAACGAGTCAACGATGGCTGGTTGTTGTTGAAAGGGACTGCCATCGACTGGAATTGCTCGCATGATTTGCTTGTATGGCCCATATGGCTAGGTGTTGGGGTCTTTCCAACTGGATAGTGGAATGTTGAGACCTACCAACTAGGTTGGTGATTTCTGCATGGGGCACAATCAGCTTCAGGCTCCATTTCTTCAAAGGCGCTATTGAAGGAGCATCAGCTGCGCTGTCCAGTGAAGTGCCGGAACTTGGTTTTTTTGATAAAGCGACGCTTCTTCAGGGTTGCTCCAATCCTTTGAAGGTAAATGATAATCATTTATAGGGGGCAAATTTGTAATTTTATCTGTTGTTCTACCATTTTGTTCCCCTTTTATCTGGTATGTTGGGAGCAACATTCATCTTCAGGAGACCGAATGACGATTTACTGCCAAAGCTACTCCTACCCACACACCTCGCCATCGTTGTGGTGTGGGCGGATTTTGATGCTCACCAGGGTACCATGGTTTTGGTTCAGAATCATTGTCTATTATGGCAGTTTCAACGGTTCCCAATGCGTTCTAGCAACAGTGTCATTAGCCTGTGGTCATTCAGGGAACCACAATTCAGATGCATTGTATGCCCAAAATGCCCAAAAAGGAATCCCTTTTAACAGGGCTTTTAATATCAAATCCATTGCCCAAATTGCCCATGGATGACATGTAGCAGCCCCGCAGGAGTCTGTGGATGATGCTGCACCGGAAGTGGCCATGGCCGAGGACCAACTGCACACTGTATGTAAGATGATTTCACTGGCCGAAGTCACCATACATGATGTCTAATTGGGGAAATCGTCCCCAACAAGCTCAACAAGGGTTTATTTCTGACTTGGAAATGAGAACAATTGTCGAGATAACTGCGTGGTGCTTTGAATGCGCTGATGATGTAAACACGAGTGCCATTCTGGATGGAACACGTTTCTTGGCTTGGTAATGCTTGTGGTTGCAGACTTGAGCTTGCGGACAATTCCGTTGGAAGAACCGATGCATCGGTAAATTCGGACAATCATAGAGCCTGAGTGGCAAGTTTTCCGTCACGTTACGGCACTGTTCCCCCATCCGCTTCTCACGGCTGTGCCATGGGGTGGTTGTTGAGGATTCCGACGTTCGCTTGGAAATGTGCTTGGTAAATCGAGTGGCACAGAAGACTGAAGTACAGAAACTTGAATGCTGATACAGATACAACAATATCATCATCTTTTCTGCGGGGACCGGCCCTGATGGGTCTCAGATCTTGACGCACCTCTGCCGTCAAGCCCCACCCTGGCAGGACTTCAAGCGGCTCCTGGCTGCTCTGCCACCCGACAAGCGGAAGGTCATAGGCCGGCCGCGGCTGTGGGCGTGTTCTTTGAGTTCAGGCTCAAAAGTGTGATGCACTGCAATATCATTTTTTCAAAACATTTTTTTGGTTCAGCTTGACCCCACTTCAGAGGATTCATGGAGAAGCTCCAACGGATCTTAAAGATTGTTCTATTTGCATCTATTTGCTAGATCCATCCATATGGCTCTGCATCCCAAGCCGTCCCACAATGCGCTAGGTCAAGATCTGATGGGTCTCATTGATGGCGATGAGGTTGAAAAAATCAACGATGCACCCTTCAACCTCGAGGTTGGATGGCGAGGGGTGCAGGAATCTGGCCAGGAGGGATTCCTTGCCATTTTTACATTGAAGAGATTGAGATGATTGGGGTTGAGACTTCCAACAGAGGGCTTACTGCCTCATGCAACATTTTGACAGGAACGATAGTTGCTTGTTTCATATTTGGCTTGGTCTGCCTGGGCTTTCTTGGGCTGTGGCAGGCTTGCCATGAAAGTGGCGAGGGTTAGTAACCCTGAAAGGTTCATCAGATCTGATCCATTTGTGGTTCTGGAGAGAATCTCTCAACAGGCCAGGGTGATGTTTCATGGGGACAGCCATCTTCATAGGTTCGATTTGGTTCACAGTGATTATGCCAAGTACTTGGACAGTTATTCAACTTTTTTTTTAATAATGGGAATAATGTCCAAAGGTGTCATGCGGCCTTTTGTCAGTGGCTCATGGATCAGGAGAAAGCGCTAGAGATCGAAGAAATCGAGCGATTGCAGTGTGAACTGCAGGCGCAAGAGGACCCGGTAACACTGGGCCGGGCCCCCTTTGCACCGTCTTGGATGGTCGTTTTTAATGGACCGCACCTGGTCAATATGATGGGAGCCCACTTAGTAAGATGAACATACTGGGATGCTTCTCCAAGTTGGAATGACTTGAAGAGGTGGATGGGATATCTTGAAGCTTTGGAAGAGATTGATTCAACCCAAAGACAACTTGAACGTTTCAGAGATTTCTTGAATGTATAAAATAGGTTTCCAAAAACCCCATCATAATTTTGCTTTTCCAAAAAAATATGGTCATTTCAGTTTGAATCCAACAAGGTTCCGCATTGGGTTTTCTCGCCAGGAGCAGATCAAGGACCTCAAGACGCAGATTGCCAGGCGTGGCCCGCAGGGCCAGCAGGATAGAAATGCCACAAACCAACCAACAAAATGGCAGTTTAAACAGAGTTTCACCATGAAAAATGGGGGTTCACCGGTTCACCAGGAAAAACGGTGGATGAATGAGACAATGATAGATAGATATAGATATAATATGATATAATTGATATAATTTAATGATAGTCTTGAGATAAAGCCAGTTTGATGTTTTTTGTGCCATCGTATTCTTGTGCTAGTCGGGATGATGTAAGATGACCCCCCAGTCATGGCTATTGGGATGATCTGTGGCACTCGGTGACGGCGCGTCATTTTCGTGAAGAGCATCCGTTGTTGGACACAGAACACAACAAAGTATTGTTTGGAAATTTGGAGTGCTTGAATTGAATTTACTTCATGAAATATACTACAACAACAGATATAATACATATTAAGCCTACTTAGTTGATTCCCACTTGATTTCCACCTCTGGATATCCAACATCCCCTGGTGGGAATCAGGATGGAGGCTGAGGGGCTGGATCCGGCTGAGGCTCGTGGATCTCATCTCGGGATGATGGGGATTTCTCAGTGGGACGGTTATGAAAAATCACCATGTTACCCCTCTGGTAAACTAACATAGCTATGGAAAATCACCATTTTCAACGGGAAAATCCACTATAAATCACCATTTTCAATAGCTATGTTAAATTACCAGAGGGTAATAGGTAAATCATGGAACAGTGGGCCATGGCTTCCATCGCAAACGCTTCGATTCTCGGATCAGCCAACAAAATCCTGAATTTCTTGGGATGACTCCATAGTTTTTTAACCTCCAGGTGATTGATACACAGACCAGATGGTCAAATATGAGTTGTGTGTTAGCAACATTTGGCAACCTCTCAGTGCGTGATATGTGGTGGGACATCCTGGGACCCTGTAGCTGGAAGTTGGCCAGAGGCTCCTGTAGAGGCCAGAGACTTAGATGTGTCGAGTCGACCCCACGGCACCGACGGCTCAGGATCAAGGTGACTGTATCTTGGTGATTCGATGGTGGGAGGGTCAAAAGGCCATGGTTTTTTAAGCCAAAAGCGACCAAAAGCGGTTCAAGAATGACAGCTGTGACGGCTTTTTTGAAGCTTTTGGGGCATGTGAACCAAGCACTTTCTCTGGAGACCTTTAGTCACTTTTAATCTTATAGAACTGTACTCCATGTTTTTGCGATGAGAACAAGCTGGTGTGATCTGACCTGCTCAAGTTGGTAGATGTACTGTAGTTGTTTGTACCAAGAGCTCGGCCGCATTTGATCTTTGGAATCCCGAGAAGTAAGAATTGAAAAGATGTCGAGATGTCGGTCATCCATTCCGTCCATTGTGCCGTCCCCGCACCTGCTGCGCTGCTAAGTTGTGGAGGAGAGCCGACTTGGGAACGCGATGGAACTTTTTTCATGTCATTGTGATGGTGAGTTGGAATTTTATATATATATGGGATATATATGGGATATTTTACGTGCAACTCCTTTGCAAACCAAGAGCTTCGTGATTTTCCCCAGGCATTTCGAGATAGCACCTCCACCTCCAGCAAGATTGATCTCCTTCATATTCAGGATTTAACTTGCACCTGGCAACGCAATCAACGATTGTGTCCAAATCTTACACATTAAATCGGAAATCCAACGCGGATATCCATCAATTATCTTTCATTTTATGAACTCAATTCTGCAATCACACACATACTCCGCATTTTTTTCTAATAACATACAATTTTGAAGAATATGAAATTTAAAGGACATTATCTCCTCAACACTGAATTTCAAACTGGAGAATAATTTAACATTGCATGCAGGAGGATGATGACGGCGAGGTTCATTATACCTAATATCAAGAATTAAGAAAACATAATATATTAACATTATATATACGTATACATATATATTTATCAATAACTATCAATATATATAATATATATATAAATATAATATAAATATATATATAATATATATATATATATTAATTTGATTGATTATTAAATTAATAATTTGAAATAAAAAAACATATATTAAATATAAATTCCCGATAAACCGATAAATTAAAAATATACTTAAAATTACGAAAGCCAGCTAGCTGGCTAGTTGCTGTTTGCGAACGAAGTGAGAATAGGGGGTGTGGGGGGGGGTGGTTGCCGAAAGGGAATGAAATCTCGCCGTGCCCCTGTGTTGAGCGCTAGAAAACGGAGCATTTTGCTGGATTATGTACTACTAGGTAATTTGCTGACGGTGGGGTATTGATTCGCCTTAGGTCCGCCTTTTTGGTGGCCGGAGAAATTATGAGGATGTATTGGAAAATACAATGAAATTGCAGGAAAACATGATAACGATCAGAGGAAATCGTACAAAATTTCCTGGAAAACGGACGAAAACGGAGCGAATGCGAGGAATAAACCATGGAAAATCCCTGGGAAAATGGAGGAAACCGGAGCGAATACTAGGCGCAAACCATGACGATGCAATAAACATGCTGGAAAAATACAATG